CGTTTACCTGAGCATGGGCCATTGTCGTCAAGCCAGCTCTGTCCAAAACCTCCTTGGTTCATCCCGCACCTTCTTTGAGAGCCAGTGTGGTGTAGTGGTTAAGAGCGGTAGACTCGTAATCTGGTGAACCGGGTTCGCGTCTCCGCTCCTCCACATGCAGCTGCTGGGTGACCTTGGGCTAGTCACACTTCTCTGAAGTCTCTCAGCCCCACTCACCTCACAGAGTGTTTGTTGTGGGGGAGGAAGGGAAAGGAGAATGTTAGCCACTTTGAGACTCCTTCGGGTAGTGATCCAAACTCTTCTTCTTCTTTCAGGACATGTTTATGGGCGTAGCCAGGACTCCCCTCTGCATTTAGGCTTGTGATTGGCAGGGCCAAATCAGCAACATGGACAACAGTAATTGGAACCAGACCTGAAGTGCATAATATTCCATCTTCAGGTCTCTGAACTCTGTTGCTGGGACTAACAGTTCAGGAGGCAGAACGCCCTGCCTTGTTGACCAGGCAAGGACAGAAAGTCAGCTTCATTTGTGCCTGACCTAACCACTCAAGAGGTCACATACAGTTTGTCCATTACAGGCACTGATACTATCAACCTCTCTTCCTGATTCTGAAGCTAAAGGCAGCCCTAGCACCAATGCACACAAAAGCCTGAGATATAAACATGCCATACCCTTTCCAAAGGGCAGCGGAATTCCTTAAAACCACTTCTTAATTTAGCATTCACCCTGATCTGCTTACATATGTTGGTTAAGCTATGCCCAGTCTTTATTAAGCATTTGTTCTTATTTGTTTTCAGAGTGGCTATATGATAATGAGCATCCATCCTGATTTTTTGTGTGTGGCATATTTACATGTCTTCCTGTTCATCATTCATCCATCCCACACTTTTCAATGCATTTCCATATCACTTTCCAAACCACAAAAATTCCAGTTGTTGTTTCTTTTAAATGTATTAGTTGCAACAGGGTGCTTTAATCCACTTTAAATGTGCAAACCTATCATGCCCTTGAATCCCTGCTGCAAAATACTGGACATTCTGGTGCAACCTCTAGATCTCAGTCTGGATTGGGCTCTTGACAGTGAGGCCATAAATCAGGGTAAAGCAAATATAGTCATACCTCGGGTTGAAGTAGCTTCAGGTTAAGCATTTTCAGGTTGCGCTCCGCCGTGACCCGGAAGTAATGGAGTGTGTTACTTGTGGGTTTCGCTGCTCGCACATGCGCAGATGCTCAAAATGACATCACGCACATGTGCAGAAGCAGCAGATCGTGACCCGCGCATGCGCAGACGCACGGATGCAGGTTGTGTTCGCTTCAGGATGTGAACGGGGCTCCAGAATGGATCCCATTCGCATCCAGAGGTACCACTGTATGACAATTCAAGGCTGTGATCACATGTGAGGGAAAGCAAGTCTGCCCTCCAAGGGGAGCCTTCAAAACCTCCAAGGGAACATAGCATGGAATCAAGGTGGGTCTCACAAAAAGGTAGTATCGCAGTCATGTCTGAAAATAAAGAAGAGACATGGGGAAGGACTGGAGCAGTGGTTCCCAAACTTTTGCTTCCATGAACTCATCCCCAGTGCCTGCTACCCTCTGCTATGAAAATCATTATTCAGAATAGCGGCTTGCACAACCCACTAAGGAAAATACCTATACAATACATTTCAAAATGGTAACAATTAATTGCACAGATATTCAAAATCCAATTAAAACTACTTAATTCAATTAATTCAACAAAATTGATGAACTTGATCCAGTGATACAAGATTTTTCAAGCCCGATAGTCATTTACACCCCAACGCCTCCCTGCTGCCACCTTGCCTCTTAGTGCCTCCCCTAAGGGGCAGTACCACCCACTTTGGGATCCGTTTGACTAGAGCTCTCCATAAGTGGATGGAGCCAGGGGCAGAGGAAGGGGGTGCAGGGGGTCACCCCGGGTGTCACCACTGAGGGGGGTGACAAAATGCTAGGCAGCACTCACCACGGGGCCTGCAGCACACCCAAGCCATCCGTCTCTCCTGGGAGTGACGCAGTGACTTGAGAGGCCCACAGGCTTCCCCCAAATGGTCCACCCACCACCTCCCCCTCTGCTGTAAGGTGGCTGAGTGGGAGGAGGCAGGCAGACTCCTCGGAGGCCCCGCAGAGCATCCTGTCCCAGCTTTCCCTGCCCCTGGGTACAGGGCACACACACCACCCCAGGCACCAGATCAGCTTTCTCTGCCACTGGATGGAGCCAGTCTAAAAGTCACCCAAAGCAGAAATGTGGCATTACATTTCGCAGAAACAATGCTCTGCCTGGGTCTTGACTGTGTTCTCCAAAGATTTTTGTGCATCTCTGAATAGCAGTATTAACGACTGCGCTTCATGTGACGTGATCATCTTTTCATCCAAAGCTCTTGCTGTGCCTCACAAATAACATCTAATTAAGTCTCAATGAAGAGGGAGATGTGCCTTCTATTGACTTCTTTTTCTCCCCGGCTTGATATAAAACCCGAGAAAGAACTTGAATATTGTTTTGGCTGTTTCTTTTCTTTCATTCCCATTATGGAGCCTTACTGCTGACGCTGATGGAAACACTCATATCTGTGTCTCTTCCAGGACTGAGACACCCAAAGCCTGCCCCTGGTTAGAATTAGAAGATTAGCATCCAGGAAATTTACATTAGACTCTGAACAGCTGACAAGGCCTTGCCGACCTTTGCAGAGAGAATGCATGTCCTGGAGAGCCTGACTGGGTGGCTGAGTGAGTTTTCTGAATCTTAAGTTCTGTTCACCCCATCTCCACTGCTAATTTTTTTTAAGGCTGCATGAAAATTCATACCTCTTTTCAAACACATTTCCACATATACACATTTTGTGTACTCCATTGTGCCTTGTGTAATATTGTTACACCCTGATCACCAAGCAGCAAGAGACTCCTGAGGGTTCAGTTCCCTCAGAAAAGATCCGCAGAGACTGCAGTGTCTTTAAGATATATGGTTTTATTTACACATATAGGCAACCTGAGCATAGGATGGAGTAGCTCAAGGCAATAATACCTTGAAGTCCAGCACAATGCAAACAGAGAGCATGGCATATATCTGTGTCTCCAGCTTCCAGCTCAGCTCACACCCATTTGTCTCTATGGCAACCTCTTTGGACTTGTAAATTGCGGTACTTAACGAGCTAGCTGAAACCATTCCCTAGACAAAGGAATTGGTTTGGTAAGATCACTCTTATGCATTCTGAACACACACAGGATCACAGGTTTGGAAATGAGCATAGGGCATAATCCAGACTGACGCCCTTCAACTCATAACAATATTTATGCATGGAAGCAATCCCTCTCCCCCTTTTTTCGGCTATATTAAAGATTCAGTGAAGCCAGCAGGTATAGAAATAATATCACATCTCTTAATAGCTGCTGATGGGCTGATTTCAGAACACTGGAAACAAACAAGAACTCCAACTATAGAAAAATGGATTATGTGCAAGAAAATGTACAACCTTTTTATCCGCAGTGACTCTGCAGAATTTTAGGCTCTAGAGATGAGGTGGTCCTCCTTTGTTTTGACGAAATGTGTTTCAAGAAATTGTATGCACAACCATTCAGAAACTTTCACCTGATCCTAAACTTCTTTCTATTTTTGATTCTGACTCTGAAACACTGGGATTATCCTCAATTATTCTTGTCCCATGCCTAGAAAGCACAAGTCTGAGCATTTTGCCTTTGCCCCACCACTTTCCCCCAGAAAACCTGACCTTTGGCAACAACAACAGCAATAACAATTTTATTATTTGTACCCCGCCAATCTGACTTGAATGCCCCAGCCACTCTGGGTGGCTTCTAACAAATAAAAAAGCATGATAAAACACCAAACGTTAAAAACATCCCTATACAGGGCTGCCTTCAGGTGTCTTCTAAAAGTTACATAGTTATGTATCTCCTTGACATCTGAAGGAAGGTCGTTCCATAGGGTCAGCTCCACAACCGAAAAGGTGCTCTGCCTGGTTCCCTGTAACTTCACTTCTCACAGTGAGGGAAACTCCAGAAGGCCCTCGGAGGTGGACCTCGGTATCCGGGCTGAACAGGGGAGCTGGAGATACTTCTTCTGATAGATCGGAACAAGCGGCAATCTGCAGAAAACCCAGTTGCCATTTGTTCCAATGCAGCATTAAAGATTGAGTTTCCCCCAGGGAAAGTGAAGGGGCAAATGGAGTGGATAAGCTCACTGTTATACAAACATTTGATTGTGTGCCTAATTGTGGCAGCTAAACTAAGCATCATTAAGCACTGGAGAAACCTGGCTGGAAACATGTTGCTAGAATGGACCACTCAAATTTGGACCTTGGCATTCATCCAATGCTTGAAACAGGAAATTTGAGCATGGAGAAAAGAACACACTTCTGACAAGTTTTATGCCCTCTGGTCAAGTTTTATTATATATGCTACAACAAAAGAACATGGCTTTCATCTGCTCAGTGCACATGGACAAATGTGGAACAGCACCTTGGGATGGTTTATATTGAGGTAGCTGGGTAGACCTGAGAGGGGTGGTAAAATCAATAAAAATATTTTTTAAGAGTAAAGAAAATATGCAACCTTTTATATTATTCAGTTTAGTGTTACATACTTTTAACGCGTCATTTTGATGTGGATTTATAAGCTGTATGTGTTTGTAATGCTTAAATAAAGAAATGTCTTTTCTCCAAAAAGAGAGAGAAAAGAATGCATCTTTGTATGCTATTTTCAAGAATGCACATGTTTCTGCAGGCACTTTTCACTAATACATCTATTTTGTATGCATTTTGCGACTGGAGAACTGCATCACAAAATTCAGAGTAATGTGAATTTCACAGAAGAGCTCTTCGCATATTGGTTCAAAAAGTGCAAGTTTGGTACATCTGCCACAAAATTCAAACTAGATGAATTTCTCCTTCACACAGTGGCTGAGAATGGGTGGTCATTTAGAGCTGTTCCATCTAGAGCAAAAGAGGAACCAGTCTATCCTTGTTACAGAGCAAAAGCTCAGTTGGTTAGAGCATGGTGCTGATAATGCCAAGGTTGCAGGTTCAATCCCCGCATGGGACTGCGGCATATACAGTACCTGCATTGCAGGGGGTTGGACTAAATGATCCTCAGTGTCTCTTCCAACTCTACAATTCTATGATTCTATGAAAGCAAGGGCCATACTTTTAGGGGAGGAACCATCCTTCAGTAGTAGAGCTCATGTTCTACCACCCATGCTCTCCTTTTGCTTCTAAGGTCTCTGGTTCAGTACCTGGCATCTCTAGCTAAAAGGATCAGATATTTGGCAGTGGGGAAGATCCTTCTCTGCCTGAGACCCTGGAGATCTGCTGCCAGTCAGAGTAGACATTATTGGACTAGATGAACCAATGGTCCATGCAAAATTTGGGTGCCTGCACAATTCAGGTTAAGTGCCACTATCCTGGGCTGTGTCTTCACCACAGACAGCCCTTTCACAAAGCTGAGAGGGGGCATAGTTCAGAGGTACAGTGTATGCTTCACATGCTGAAAGCCTCAGGTCCTATCCCTAGTTTAAAGGGATTGGGTGCTTAGGGTCCTTGAGAATATGTCGAAGAGGATAAGGCTACAAGTCATGATGGCTCTGTTATATCTCCACCGTCAGAGGCAGTATGCCTCTGAAAGACAGATGATCTGCTTCGCATGGGCATCTGTTTGGCCACTGTGAGAACTGGAAGTTGGACTAGATAGGCCACTCGGCTGATCCAGCAGGACTCTTAAGTTCACTGCCAGTCAGAATAGACAATTCTGAGCTAGACAGAACAGCTCAGATAGAAATTGACCTGGTGTCAAACTAGCTTCTGACGGGCCTGTGGAACCAAGGCATTGCTGATATATGTGACTTTTTGCAAAGGTTGTTTATTCATTCATTCATTCATTCATTTTTTTCTGTTCATTGGCATAATTTAAACAATAAAAACCATCCATAAAACATAAATAGTCTAGACATATTAAACACATAAACATATAACATAAAAGACTCAGTAGCCACCATTAAGTAAGATTAAGCAGTTTTAAATTTAACTTTTAAAATCTTGACTAAGTATCCTGACATAATCTCAGCAGTTTCAGGAATTTCATCCCTCATTAGATATTGGATCACAGATTCTTTGCAAGTAGATACTTTGAGCTTCAAGGGAGTCCCAGTAAGTCTCTCCAAAGAGTTTCAAGGAGAGAGCAGTCCAGAATTATACGATATATTGTATTGGGTGTATTCATACTACAAGGGCAAAGTCTATTGGTTGGTTGTTTCTTTATGGGGGTAACATTTCCACCAGCCCTGCTGTTAGTCGCCCACAATTCTCTGTCAAGACCACAGAACTAGATAATAGAACTCCATGTTTCTCCAAAGCATGGCTTCTTGTGTAAGAGACAGCATCCCATCATATTTTAGTTGTCTGGTACAAGAGATACATTTTTGTGCCAAGAACAGAGAACTAACATCAAAGAAAGATCAATGTTTACTTCTCACCTAAAACATTCCAAGGGGGTGGAAGAAAACAATTTATAGTTGGTTTCTTGTGCAACTGCGAGACGGGGGGGGGGGGGGATCTAAGGAGTATAAATATTAGAGGAATTTGGTTATGAACTTTGATCAAACTGTGCCTTCCAGGGCAGGGGGCAGGATTATTTCACCAGTGTGACTGACGCCAATGAAAGATCAAACCTGCGGTCAATGATGATGCAATACCACTGCAAAACCTAAAGCCTTGCAGTTCAAAATGTGTGTCCATATGCTTACTGGCAAATCCACCTTCATGCTAATCAAGGCAACACATCAAGTGAGGCAGCAGAACTGCCAGCCAGCCAGTGTTCAACTGGTCCATAACATCAGAATGTGTTATGTCAAGGTTAATTCAGGAATCCAGCCATCATGCAAAGTCCTGATCAATGCAGCAATGCTAGATGTGTCCTTCAATCAGGGTTCACAATTTCTCATCAGCTGCACAAGATCTCAAGAACTTAAGAAGAGCCTACTGGATCAGGTCAATGGTCCAGCTGGTCCTTCATCTTGATCTCACAAAAGCACTCTACCTTCCTACGGTTTCTAGTATTCAGAAACATTGGGAGGGATGTGGGTCGCGCTGTGTTCTAAACCACTGAGCCTCTTGGGCTTGCCAATTGGAAGGTCGGCGGTTCAAATCCCCGCAACGGTGTGAGCGCCCATTGCCCTGTCCCAGCTTTTGCCAACCTAGCAGTTTGAAAGCACACCAGTGCAAGTAGATAAATAGGTACCGCTGTGGCAGGAAGTTAACGGTGTTTCTGTGTGCTCTGGTTTCCATCACAGTGTTCTGTTGTGCCAGAAGCAGTTTTGTCATGCTGGCCACATGGCCCAGAAAGCTGTCTGTGGACAGACGCTGGCTCCCTTGGCCTGAAAGCGTGATGAGCGCTGCAACCCCATAGTTGCCTTTGACTGGACTTAACTGTCCAGGGGTCCTTTATCTTTTACCTTTTACTTTATTCAGAAACATTACTGCTTCCAACCATGGAGGTGGAACATTGCCATCATGGCTAGTAGCCATTGATGGACCTCACCCTTCATGAATCTGTCCAGTCCTCTTTTAAAGCCATCCAAATTGGTGACCATCACTGCCTCCTGTGGGAGTGAGTTCCATAGTTTAACTATGCACAGTGTGGAGAAGGGCTATCTTTTATCTGCCCCGAATCTTCCAACATCCAGCTTCTTTAGAGGTCCACAAGTGATGGTGTTAGGCAAGAAGGAGAAAAGCTTTCCTTTCTCTTACACCATGCATAATTTTATAAACTTAACCATGCAGTGTTATAACTTTAGAGCTAGTGGAACAGGGAGCACAGCACAACCACCGATAGTCACAGACACAGGGACGCAACTGAAACAAATAAATAGTTTTATTGGTGCACAAAGCTCAATGATATCTTGAAAGAAAGAATCAAGGATTCAAGGACCCCTGACTCAAGGACACTGCTAGAGTTGGTATGTTGGCCAAGACATGGCATGGCATGCACCAACATTGTTTGCGTCCCCAAACTAGCAGGGGGTGGTGGTTCTGGAATGTGTGACAACATAGCCAACCTGATCCTACAACTCCTAATTTTCTAATCAGGCTTTGAAGCTCTGTGGTTCTACTGGACTAAATCATCTGGAGGAGGCCAGCCATTCCTCCTGCCTTCCTGGCGGCATCAGCTGAAGAGTTGCAGTGTAGAGAAGACAAACAGCTTCCCTATTAGCACCACATCAATACAGTTTAAAGCCCCATTCTGAAGAGAGCCCGTCAGCCCAGTTAATGCACTTAATTTCTCCCAGACTCTGGCGTGGGTGTAAATAACTGTGCGGCAACAGCCTTTCTGCTCTCTGCTCTTCAGCCAGATGGATTATCGGTTGCTGCGTCCCCAGATATGGCTGCAGGAGACAAACATCATTTGTGGTCATTGATTGTACAGGAGGCCAAGTATATAATGCACCATAAAATGAGATTTTAATACTTGCTGGAAAAATTATAGCATAATTGTGTGTTCTGTGTTTCTCCAGGATCTGCTTTGTTTCCATAGGCTTAAAAGGGAAACAGGAGAAGGCGTGAGCAATTCTGATATTTGTCTCTGAGTCCCTTCAGGTCTCTATTTTCTCCCGGCCACAAACTCCATACCTTTGATACCTTGCTCTGTTGTGTTAACCCACATAAAGGAATGTCAGGGGTCAGCAAAACAACTTTTATGTTTCTTCCTCCTATCCACTCTGCTTCTGCTACCACCTGGAAATATTGATCTAACATAACTCAAGTCAGAAGGAGTTTGCCAGTGCAAGAAAACAAATAATAGAAGAAGTGGATGCATTCTACAGTATACCACCAAAAGGACCCCAAGTCCTGTCTTTGCTTAAAGCATAAATCCATTTGTAGCAGGGGAACCTGTGACCTTCCAATTGCTGTTAGACTCCAACTCCCATGATTCCTGTCTACTGGGCAAGCTGGCTGTGGTTGATGGGAAGAGGTATCCAACAACATATGGAGGACTATGGGTTCCCCATCCCTGTTTCTGTAGTGCAATCATGTACATGACACCACCAAAGTTTGTCCCTTTGAGTTCAATGTAACTTATCCCCAGGTAACTGTGTGTAGGATTGCATTACAGAAGACACTGAGAAGACTCTCCAACACAGTCTAGCAATCTCTAAAGGTGGGTCTGTGAGCTTGTGAGAGTGTGACTTCTCCCCTCTCCTGTTCCATTTCTGTTGTGTTTGGCCAATGTCCCTTTTAAATGATCTGACTGATGTATGAAAGGAGTCACACGTCACACTGTGTCCACTTCTGATGGACAACCATGCTATCTGGCTCCCATAGCTGCAGCGCACCACAGATATCTCTAAGGATACATGTTTGTTGGCTGAGATGAGTGGAGGTGGGGCTTTCGGGACCAAGAACAGCTCATTATTCAGCACCATGGACAGTGCATGGTTCCTGCTCACTTTTCTCAGGGCACTTTTCCAGAGTTCTGAGCCAGTTACAGGAACAAACATTATTTATTTATTTATTTATTTATTTATTTATTTATTTATTGCTTAAAGTGTTCTCAAGTGGGTGTTTGTGTCACCATTTACACACAGAGAAAAGGCATTAGAAATTCACAAGCCATCCTTAGGTGTGTCCCCCCCCCCCACTCTCTTGCACGCACTGCATTCTCATTTTATTCCCGGAGTATATGTCCCTGGAAAGTCACCAGAAGAACTATTGGTGAGATCCTTGACTCCCTTGCATATTTCCCCTTTGATCTCCTGAGGCTGCATTCACCCAATTGCCTCTTTGAACCTCATTCATACAGGCACATCATGAAACAAGTACCTTTCAGCATGGGAGTGGCCCTCCAAAAAAGCTGAATCCATCCTTTCAAAAGAAATGACCTCAGAGGTTCTCAAGTACAGGATGGAACCACCTGGCAGGGGGAGTATGAGAAATGGGGGAGGAAGGGAATTGAAAGAGAAAGAGAGAGAATCTTGCAACAGCTAAAGTCAGTAGCATTTTCTTTCACCAGTATGAAAAATTTTGGATTGAAACCAGCAATGCTACTATGCTAAGCAT